AGAATCAACTTGATTGAAAGAGGTATGTTCAATGCCTTGATATGCAACAATATTGACTTCTTCCCTACAGAGTAAGGCATACAATCGTCCAAATTGCTAAGGTGTAATTTAGTACGTATGGCTATTTTAAAGGCATTATACACTGTAGGCAATCCATTCAGCGTATACAAGATGATGTCCTTAGGTTCTATTAAGGATCTTGCATCTTGGATGGCATCGACCTTTTGCTTGATTTTGGAGAGGTACTACATCAAAGGTTCCAAGACTCCATCCACCATATATATATATTAGAATCTAGTTTTAAATCCTCTAATTGTTCTACTACTCCACCATCGAGGCTATATATCTGTCACGACCCGACCCGACGGGGACGGATCCCGCCCGAGCCGGATCGCGACGAGATTCAGATCATATCAAATCAGAACTAAACGGAACAGATATCAAATTACACAGATCAGAAATCAGATGGCAGATCGTATCAACAGAACAGATATCAACAGAGCAGATACGGAACTCAGATATCAACAGAACAGCTTCAAAAATCAGATATCAGATAATAGCGGATATCAGATATTTAATTAATAGCTAAGCTAAACTAAACAGAATCACTACGGATTCTGACCCTTATGTCTCCCTTGTGCTCACGGCACCAGAAATTCGCTGAATAATTAATAGCTAAGCTAAATGTGCTAAATGTGCTCACGGCACCAGAATAATAGAATTCCTCGGATCCGGGACAGAACAGAAATTTCTCCAATTTGAGCTCAACTAAAATTTCCCCAGACACTAACTGAATCTCATAGGATCCAGGCCCCTTATAGCTCCCTTTTTATAGCTTATACACATAGCATTTCAATTCAGAAGAAATCCGGGCAAATCCGAAATCAGATAAAAATCGGGCAGCACAACGGCAGTATACGAAATTTACACAAAATTTCCTGCAAATAAAATTTCACCAAATTCGCACAGAATATAGATAATCACATTCCAGAACATTTATTCTACTGCACAGAGAATTTACCATTTCACAGAAAATTGTAGTCTACGAAAAACTCCGCCGAATCAAAAATACCCGGACAAAAATCTTCGGAAAATAACCAAAATGTGCACACTCGGCACGTCAACAATATACGGAAAGTTACGCGGTAAAAACTGAACCAATCAAAAGATACGGACGAAAAACCGTAACGGAAACGAAATCCGGACAGAAAATACCGCCAAACTCGACGGTTCTGAAAATTGAGAAAGGCGGAATGTGCCTTACCTTGCGTACAGCAATATTCTGAACAGTCACTTCGAACGAAAACGGCTCCGCGTCGCCCGAAAATCAACTTTTCCACAAATGTCCTCGACTTTCTCTCTCCTCAGATATTTATTTTATATTTTTTTTGATTTTCTCTCTCTTCAAACCCACTGAAATCAGCTTTATAATCTTCAGATCGGCCCGGCCGATCGCCAGATCGTCCCGGGACGATCAGACCAAAAATCGATCGTCCCGACCGTCCTGGACGGTTCCCAGAACTATTCTCAGGCCGATATTTTCTACAGTGCCGATCGGCCTGGACGATATGTACAAAAAATCACCTGGAGCAAAACTGGGCAAATTCTGGAGCAAAATTACAACTGATCGTCCCAGGACGATCCAGATCGTCCTGGACGATCCTGGAGCAGATTTTTGATATTACAATATCACACTAAGTTTTAAGTTTATACAAGGCCTATACATAAACTAAATAAAGCATGAAAGATTTTAAAAATAACATTTAAAGATTCATGAAATTTAGATTTAATATTAAGCAAAAATGATTTTTAATGTATCATAGGCCCAAAGATATGTTTTAGCTAGCTATGAAAATTAAAATAAGGAAAACACATTTTATCTAAAAAAAGGTAAAAGATATAAGTTGAGGATATATTTCACCAAGAAGTTCCTTACAATACGATTATAAACTCTCCTTCCACTAGAATTGACTTTATTGTCTTGCTCTCTCTCCACTCCCTCTAAATATTACTTAGGCTGATTTTAAATAAACAAATGGACAACCACCTAAAATAAATGAACAACCCCTTTACAAATTCAACTAAAACTTTTTTTTATATAGTTTTTATTAATAAATGAATTGGTGCCATGAAGCTGACTTGAGCAGCATTATCATGCTATTAAATTGACGTGTTAGTTTATTAATCATTACATCAGTTACATGTTTAACTATTAGTAACTCTCACCCACCATGGTGTTGTGGCAATTTGGTGTTGTGGTGCTTAGTCTAATGCTATAGTGCTCCTTCCTTGGTGCCTCAGTGCCTTGCTCTCTATTTGGATCCAGCCCTTTTACCACTATTGCATTGCTTTATAGCACTTCAAAACTAGTGATCAGTGTGGCACTGATGATCAATATCATATTGTGTCGTTCTAGTTGTGGTGTCGATGCGCTCCTTTAATTATGGAGTATTTTGCTTCTTTCATGCACAAAAGGATAGATTTCAATTTTTTTTTTTGAAAATAAGTAAAATTTGGATTATACATTTTTTTCTTATCATTATCCCAAAAATATAGCCTCATCAGACTTTGCATCAAACCATCCCAATTAGGTTTTCCTTTATTCAACACATAACATTTATTTCCAAAAATATGTAAGTGGAAAATGTTCAACGTTCTACCCTTCAGAAGTTCATTGGCGGTTTTATTCAATCTGGATTTGATATTTTCCCTATTCAAAATATAAAATGCAATGTTTACTACCACATCCTAGAAGTTTATGGATATGTTATATTCATTTAACATAGCTCCAGCGGCCTCAACTAAAATCCTTTTCTTCCCTCTCCACTATACCATTCTACTTGGTAGACTAATTTAGAATCAATATACAATTAAGTAACCAAACATATTATCTATAGAACAAGCATTCAAATCCTTTGATTCTAAGATCACTGCCATCTTAACATCTCAAGATTAAGACAAGTATCTAAGAATCATATTAAAATTTTAAATATTGCTAATTTCTTTATCCAAAGTATGCAGAGAAGTAATAATTTTTGTAAAGCAAATATACATGTTAGTCATAGATTCACCAGATTCTATGGAAAAAAAAATCATAATCATGATGTAAAATATTTAATCATGATTGCTTGATTTTGTTAGTTTCTTCATAAGTGATACATAATCTATCCCAAATATCATTTCTAATGATGCAAGTGGACACTATCATATAATCCTTTGACTTAAGTGCACAAAAGAAATGATTTAAATGTTTAGCATTCAACTGTGCAAGTTCCCTATCTTCTATGCTCTATTCAATAAAATGGATTTCAATTTTTATACCATTCATTGTCTTATGCGGCGAAGAATATCAAAATTGAATTAAATACCACATGTGAAAATATATGGATTGTATAAAAATAAATGCTTTAATTTTTCAAAAGTTACAAGGAATAATATCAAAAAGTAACGGATGGATAATAGAATAATCTTCTGATGTGTTTCGATTCCCAAACTGTGTTATAGCAGAATCCTGCTTCGATACCAAATATAAGTGACTAGGCATAGCCAAGAGAGCTGAACTTTATTTTTTTTGAGCTGAACTTTAGGCATAGCCAAGAGAGGGAGGAGGGTGAAATGGCTTATTTTTTTAAAAAATTCTTTTTCAAAAATAAAAAAAAACAACGAAATTAAACTAATTGATGATGCAAGATTCGTCCACCACAAGTTCTATTAAATCGTACTGGATGATTTGAATTGTACAATACGATCACTAATCAATATTTGATCCTAATTCAATTGAATGATCAACAATCTAAATTAGACAAGATTTATTAATAATTGTATAATATGAAATCTTTCGTATAATACTATTAGGTTAATATTCAAATTTTAAACTTGCCTAAATTTTGTACTTCATAGAGCATAACATTTAAACAATTGTGGCATTATTAGGAGATGCTCCTAAAAGACCTTTAGAAAAGGTTGGAATCAACAATAGAATTACTTATGACCACTTAACTCTGCTTCTTATCATAAGAACATTATAATTGCTTTCTAAAAGGCCTCTATTTGAACACTATTCAAATCATGTTTTGATGCTGTTCTAATAGGTCTGAACAAAGTTTTCAAATACCATTCAATCTAATTCTCTCCGACTATTGTTCAAATCAGTGTCAACTTAGACACTTTTTTTTTTTCGGGAATTTAGGCCACTTAAGAAAACTCAAACACACATCACATATACAAGATTCAAACCCACCTCTTAATTACTCTCAACCAAAATACCAAGTTGAATAATGTGACACAATTTAAATAAGTAGTATGAATTATGAAGTGATGATATTTTTATTTGAATATAATTTTTGGAATAAATAGTTTAAAAAATAAACATTGTAGATATTTTTTAATTTTATTATAGGATAAATAAAATTAACTTTTCTTATGTCCATTACGAGACATATTAAGGCTTCATTTGGTACTTTTGTTTTAAAATAATTTTTTAAACAAAAAAGATATCCCAAATGAAACTTAAGTCAAATATAACATCTAATCAAAATACTGTTTCATTTTAATAATAAAAAGTAAATTTTTTATATTAAAAAAATTAGTTTAAAAAGCAGTTAAGTTTGACTTTCATTTGGGACAATTTTCTTACTGCTTTTTAAAGTACTTTTCTATTAAAAAAATTCCCAAATAAAGCACAACTTTCTTACTACTTTATAAAATAACTTTCTAATACAAAAAATTTAAGTTCAAAAAACTTTTGTATTAAAAAGATGTTTTAGAAATAAGGAATAAAGCTATTCCAAGCAAAATCTTAGGCTTCATTTGAGACGATTTACTTATAATTTTTGTAAAGCAGCTTTTCAACAAACAATTTTAATTTTTAAATATTTTTATTAAAAAATATTTTAAAAAACAGTAAAAAAAACTATTCCAAAGAAAGCCTAGTCCAAAAAGTTTTTCAATAAATTTCTATAGTAAATAATATATATATATTTTACCTCTAACTCGAATGAAAGCATGATTCGCGCATCCAGTGCTGCCTTCGCAAGCGCTCGGAGTTCTTCGGCATACGTCGATATCCCCAATATCTTTCTTTTTCTGCGACGGTGAGCAGCTGCGGCGCCGGAGTAGGAGCAGGATGACGATGTTCCACTTCGTAAATTGCGTGATTCTCACATTCGGCCCGCATGCCGTTTACTACTCCGCCACTCCACTGTAAAATCTACCGATCATTCCATTCATCGATGTGTTCTCTGTTTGCAAGCTCCATTTTTTTTTCAATTTGTAAACCTAGCTTCGTTTTCCGTCCCTTAGCTGCTAGATTCGTTTAAGAGATCTCCCTGCACACTCTTGTATCAGCACCGCGTATTTTGGAACTACGATGTCATGGAACCCTAGTTATTTGATGAGATTGAGTGCTGATTTAAAGTAGTTATTCTCCATACATAGAGACTGTTAGGGAAATTTTTAATAGGGTTGATTCTCAATTGTTAGCATTTTTTTTCTTTTTTCTTTGGATTTGTAGATGATAGATTACTGCAGTTTTGAAAAATCTGTTTACTTAATGTAGTTGAATTGAGTAGCTTTGATTGTAGCCTTAAGTTTATGTTGTGCCAAATATTTTTGTTTTAACTCCTAACATTTTAAACTCGTGCAGTTCTTGCCAGTTATGTTATGTAAGTGAGTGATGGATAAGGGCTTTAGCGGGGTATAAATGTGGTCCCATGAAAAACGTGCTAGCTGTTGTAGGTTTTGTTTTTCTGTTATGCGCATCGGAGGTGGAAGGGGATCATGGTAGAGGTGAGAATGCTGTTTTAAACAAGCTTCTCTGAATAAATTCCGAAGGAATTCCTTGTTTATAGTTAAAAAATGTTATACTAGCCTCCAGTAAGTTGAGAAACTTAGTTGGTTTTAGCAATATATATTCAAACAAATAGGTGTTTTTATCTTTGGGTTCTTATAATCTTGCTTGTTTCTGTGCCCTTGCAAAGAGAACCTTAAGTGTTGATCCTATGTTTGTGAAAATGATCACTTTTAAGGTTGGTATTAAGGTCAGGAAAGAGGGTTGTTTTTCTCCTGGCCTTCTAGGGATGTGTGCTTGCATAGCTTGTTTGCCTTCACGGTTGGTGGAGATGGTTAGTGCAATTTGTAACGGGGAGCTTTGGTTATGAATGTAGACTTTTGAAGAATCGAACCAGCATAAATCCTTGTGTGCATTCTTGTGTGGTTTATATTCTTACCTGCCTTATTCAACTCACAAACACTAACATTATCCCACACCATGCATCTTGGTGTGATAATTTGCTAACATTTATTTTATTGCCCTAGCTATCTCACTATAATTGCTGTCCACACCTTGAACTGTGTGTTGATATTTTAATTTCTGTATTTATATTACTGCAATCACTCATATTGTACTAACAAATGTAGTTCTTACCTATATAGGTGTGATCTTTATTAGCAACATTATACTCACTGCAATAACTTTTTATAACATCTATGATTCACTTATGTAGTGTTGATATTTTATGTACTACATTTTTTGTTTGTTATACTTTTAGATATATATTTTTTAACTCCACAAAAGTTTTTGAAAGCATCAAATTCACCTCCCCACTTTATTTTTAAGTGTGCATTGAGACCAACAAGTGGTATCAAATCCTAATTCTCTTATAGGCTTGAGATCATAAAGAGAATCCACAACACATCATTCATATGAATGGTACTTTTGTAAGTGCCTTTTGGCAAACTACCCACCACTTAGAAGTGTTTTCATTATATTTATTGCAAGAATCATTCATTCGTTGATATTTGTGACATTAAAATTGAATTATGGAAGTGCCAGTTAATGGGCATAAGATCCCGATGAGGATGGTTGATGGAAAGGCAATACGTATGAGCTAATGCTGAAGAAAAGCACATGACACATGTACATGCCAAGGCTCTAAGTCATATTCACTGTAGGGTAGTTTATAGTAAGTTTTACCACATATTTAATATCAAACATTACTCATATGGTATGGATTAAACTTGAAGTTAGCTATGAGGGGACTAATCAAGTTAAGGGATCCCAAATAAAAATGCTTGCTTATTACTATGAGCTATTTGAGATGGTACCATATTATTACTTTAAGGAGATGCTTTCTTGTTTATTCCATGCCATCAAAATAATGTTTTTTTAAATCTTTATTCATTTTAATGCTTTTTGGACGAATCAAATAACTTGAGCGATGAACTGTATGTAGAATATGCCAAATTAAATATGATTCTCTTGGAATCTAGGGATGCAAATTACTTATGATCACAACATGTTTATCTATATTTAGATCCTTTTTCTAGCTACTTTTACTTTATCAATTAGCATTTGATATTAATTATGGGCTTTTGTTTATCCCTAATTCTTTCATCTAGAATAGGGTATACAATAATTTGATGTCTATTTCTTGTTCCTTGATCATTTTATGCCCTATTTCTAAATGTAACACCTCCATATTCCTAAGTAGTTGTGCTTTTGAGTTAGCATTTAGCTTGCCTACTCACTAGATTTTTTTACTCAATACGTTATTTACCACGTTCGCCTTTCTAATATGATATTATATATCAAGATCATAATTTTTGATAAATTCTAACAATTTCTTTTTAACAAATTCAACACTTTCTGAGTGAAATGTACTTTAAACTCTTATAATCTATGAATAGTGATGCAAGTAAAAAATTAGAAAAACTCTAATTTTTTGCAAGCAAGAGAGACACTTCCTAGGATAAAAATAAACTTACATAAAATACCCCAAAATAGACAAATTACAACTTTTATAAAAGAAAAACGACTCTTACAAACGACAAAATAAAGACACCTAAAGGAGCTTTGCCAATCGTCGAGAAGAAGGATACAAATGGCGTCGAACTTGCGGAGAGAGGAAGGAGATTAGAAGCCGAGACGAAGAAGGCATAACTCGCAAGTTATCCTAGAAGAAGGAGAAGGGAATACATAGCTCGCAAGCTATCCCAAGAAGGAGAGGAAGAAGTGGAATAAGCTCAGAAGCTTTTCCAAAAAGGAAGAAAAACCCTCAGGTTTTTGTTCCAAAAATCAGCCATAAGTCTCTCCTTTTTTTATTCACTATTCATCACATATTTATAGGACTTAAGAGGGCAGCCAAACAGCCACTTAAACCTTTTATTTAATCCCATTAGGAAGGAGAAGAGGAAGGGCAACATATATCACAAAACAATTCCCAAAAATCAGCACAAGAAACGGATATGAGAAGCCACGGGAACACAGCCAGGGAGGGACCCAAAGAGGCAACACATAAAACTGGGCTGGAGAAGTCACGGGAAAGCAGCCAGGGGGAGAAACCAAAAAGCCCACACAAGCACCCAGCAGCCAGTTCACGGGAACAGCACAAAGAGAAAACCAAGGAGACATAAGAAGGAAAAGAGGCACCAAGGGGAGGAAATCAAGGGGACATAGGGAAAGGAAAGAGGCAATAAACCACTCTATTAATGAGCTATCAAGTGCAATTACTCTTCCAATTAATGAGCTAAAACATCAGCTCAAACATTTATGAGCTAGAACCAAGAAGTCCCAAGACTTTAGCTCAAAACCAAAGCAACTAAAGCCCAACCTGAGAGCAGCCAAGGCCCAACCCAAGAGGCAACAAGCAGCCCAAAGCTTGCCTACATCAAATAGTCCACAACATGCTCTATAGATATGATGTTTACGAATTTTGTGAGCAAACATTATTGTAACTAATTCCAAATCATGTGTTGGATGATTCATTTTATGTGATGTCAATTATTTGAAAACATATGTAATTAAATTTCTATTTTGATTTAAAAACATTCTAGACCCTTCAAAGATGCACCACTATAGATATGATATTCCTTAGTTTTTAATGGAATTATCATTGGGTAGATGTCGTTCACCTCTTAAGTTCTTAAAAATTTTGCTCGCACTTATTAATCCAATTAAATTTATCTTCTTTTCTAGTCAGCTTAGATGGAGGCATTGCCATCGCAGAAATCCCTTTACAAATCTCATATTGACTTTGAATCTCTATTACAATGGTCGATCTTAGCTATTTAACCATCTCTCTTACCTTCTTAGGGTCTATTGCTATATAGTCATCACTAAAGATATGTCCTAAGAAAGCAACACTCTTTAGCCTCACACTTACAAAATTTTGCATACAATTTATGTTCTCTTAGCAAATTCAAAATAATCTTGAAATGATTTGCGTGGTCATTATCATTTTTGGAATAAACTAATACATCATCAATAAATATTATTACAAAATGATTAAGATAAGGCTTAAAGATTTAATTCATCATATCCATAAATACTATCATTGGTTAATGCAAATGCCATAACCAGAAATTCACATTGGGTAGTGCATACTCTTACTAGATGATAACCAAATCTTACAACAATTCTAGAAAATATCAAAGCTTCTCTAATTGATTAAATAAATTATCAATCCTTTGGAGATTATATTTGTTCTTAAAATTTATTTTATTTAGTTCTTTCTAATCTATACATAATCTTATAGTATTCTCCTTATTTTTAACAATAAATAACGGCACTTAAGAAGATGTATTAGGTCTAATAAAACCTTTATCAGTCAATTCCAGTAATTAACTATTTAGTTCTTGCTCTTCCTGATCATCTATTGTAAGCTCCACTTTTTTTGGTAGCAAACCATAAAGTTCCTTTGGGAAAACATTATACTTATGCACTAGAGCAATCGTATTTATATCACTAACATCCCTAGTAGCTTCTAATTTAGTCAATAATATCAGTTCACCAAATTTCATTAATTTATTTATCTTGATAAAGTTAATAATAAATAACATTATCTGTTTCTCACATTGAAAGTAAAATGACTTGGGTAGGTCAAATCTAACGTTTTTTCCAATATTAAATATTTTACTAGCCAATTCATACTCAAAGTTATATCATACTCAGTATAAGGTAGTAAAAATCAAATCAGGCAAGAATGTTCTACCAGCTATCATGATATGAATAGAGAATAAAGCGTAAACATGTTATCACTAGCAACTAATATAATACAAAACCAATAATATAATACAAAACCAAGAATAAAATAAACTGGTTGCATTGCATATGCAACTTACCAAAGAATAGCTTAGATAAGAAATATAATGAAGCTTCAATATAAGAAAGTACCCTGATACTATTATTTGAAATACTAATTATA